CCTTAAGGAAGTTCAAAACATTCTCAAAGATCCACCTCATCCTGGGAACCCCTTTTTTGAACTATTACCACCTGGCAGACGATACGGAATAATAAAAACAAGGACAAATAGGTTGAAAAACAGCTTCTATCCCAGGGCAGTAACTCTTTTGAATTCAGTGTTGGTGCAGTGTCGGGGGTTTTAATTCAATGTGTGGAGTGTGAAGGATGTGTGTTTGTGTTTATTTTCATGGTCATGATGTGCACTGAAGATGGTGTTTGATTTCATTGTATGAAGTGCAATGACAATAAAGTAAACTAAACTAACCTATAAAGGTATAGGAGTCCTTGGCTTGCAACCATTTGTCTACTAAGCATTCAAAGTAGCACCGAAAAAGGCAACTTATGACCATTTTTCACACTTACGACCATTATAACACCCCCATGGTTCTAGGATCAAAATTTGGATGCTTGGCAACTGGTTCATATTTACGATGGCTGCAGTGTCCCAGGGTCACTGGTCGGTTCAAATACCAGTTCAATGAACCAGGTGCAAATTTAACATCCGGTTTGCCTGAACTGGTCTGAATCGGTAGAATCCCACTCCTGGGCAAAACCAAGATCCTTGTGCACCTTGATCGTTCAGCGGCTTTCAATACTGTTGATCAAGGAATCCTGAGTCTGCTCCAAGGGCTCAAAATTCAGTAAATTGTAAAATCAATTTACAATATTTTTCTTTCTTTCAGAGTGGTTTCAGTCAGTCTTGGTCAGGGGAAAGAGGTTGCTCAATAGGCTTTTTTGTGGGATGCCACAGGATTTTACTCTCTCTCCCCTCCTGTTCAACATTGACATGTTGGGCAAGGCCATTCACTATCTTACAGTTCAGTATCATCAGTACACCGATGATACCTAGTTATACAATATCTTTCAACCTTGGGCCTTCCAAGTGAAGCTGGCAGGTTTCTGTCTCTATTCAATTAATTAATAATTCTTAATACAATTGAGAAAGTCCAAAAATATTTTATGAGAAGAGTCCTCCACTCCTCTACTCGTAGCAGAATACCTTAGGGCACTAGACTTGAAATTTTAGACCTAGACAACCTAGAACCATGCTGCCTTTGGTCCGATCTAAGTATAGTACATAAATTTATATATTGCAATGTCCTACCTGTCAATGAATACTTCAGCTTCAATCAAAACAATACAAGAGCACACAATAGATACAAACTCAAGGTAAACCGTACCAAACTTGATTGCAGGAAATACGACTTTAGCAACAGAGTAGTCAATGTCTGGAATACTTTACCTGACTCTGTGGTTTCTTCCCCAAACCCCAAAATCTTCAACATTAGACTGTCTACTATTGACCCCACCCCTTTCCTAAGAAGTCTGTAGGGGACATGCATAAGCACACCAAAATGTGCCTACCGTCCCTGTCCTATTGTTTCTTTTTTTCTTATTCATATCTATTTCATGAATTTCTAACTATGTTTATACTTATACCTGTTATATAATAATTGTTTGACAAAATAAATAAATAAAATAAATTAAAATAAAGTAAAATAAACATACAGAGTTTGACTAACTTTCAACTGAAAAATTTAGGACAACTGAATTCAAGGAAAATTATGATTATTTTCAAAGGTAAATATAATGATAATCGTTTACATTTTATGATTATACTCAATGTTGTTGTTGACTATACCTGGAGGCTGTGCCAATGTGAATGGGGAAGAACTGTCTCCAACTTATTCCTATGAAAATTAGCAGAGTGCAGGGGACCAAAAGAACAGAGATGTGGTGGGGGAGATAGGCAAGTGGTGATTGCGGAAGTGCACCCATTATTGGAGTTGGGCAATGTAAAAATTTAATTAATAAGTAAAACCAGAAAAACAAACAATTGAGAAAGTTTCAAAATAGCGTATCTAAAAGATTCCCCATAAATTGATTTATGGAGGGAGGTTGGACTCTAAAAGAAACACGAAACCAACTAAAATTAATTAGTGGGGGGAACCAACACAACTTTTTGTTTGGCACAGCACAGATTTAATAGTCTTGTAGATTTCATATTTATTATAAGAAATGTTTAACTATAAATGTAGATACCAGAGGATGTACTGTAGTAGCAATTGTTTATTAAAAACTTTATTGGACATAGACTGTCAGAAATATATTCTATCATTCATAACTTCAAGAACTTGCTGGTGGGTTTTACTCTTATCCTGTGGTAGAACATGGAAATTAAAGCCTCTTAAAATAAAAAGAAGAGTGTAAAGTATATTGCAAAAAGAACTGAAGCTGTTCCCTAAGGTATGAGAGACAGATTATTGATGAGCAGCATATGAAAAATGAAGGCAATATTACATAAAGAAAAAAGTTGTAAGAAGAAACTTCAAATTTATCTTTTGAACATTAATCACTTTTAAGACTGAAATAAAAACATTAATAACTACTAATCCCACCCTTGGGCAAGATTTTATTTAAGAAGAAAAAGAAAATAACTTGGAGAGTTGTTTTTTTCCATGGTACTATCTGATATAAAATCTACCCAAAATGTAAGTTGGGAGGATAATATTCCATTCATTTCATCTAAGAGTCAGACTGATAATCCTTATATATCTACTAAGAATTAAGCCCCTCTTATGCCATTGAATTTTCTCCCAGGTATCTAAGTAAACAGTAGCACTAAATCTGTTTATATTGATCAATTATTTCCATTATGATGGTGGAAAGCTCTGGTAGGCTGCAAATCATTTTAACATCTAATTTTGAAATGATGGTCACAGATGACTGAAGAGAAGAACAAGTAATAGGCAGGGGTAGGATCCAAATTTCTTAACAGGTTCTGTGGGTGTGGCCTAATTTGTGGGTGTGGCTTGGTGGTCATGTGACTGGCTGGGCATGGCTTGTATGTAAATATTATAAATATTTATGTAAATATTGATTTTTTTATATATAAAAAAGCAACTTTTACCCAAAAGCAGGCAAAGCAGGCAGGCAGATTGAGTTGCTCACAGAATCACAGATTCACTTAGAGATCTATTGATCTACAATCGGCTACCTGAGCCTGCACTGAAAGGTAGAAGCTTCAGTCCTAAGGAAGGTTCAGCTGTGCTTTTAGATTAGCTAGAAAGCAAGAAATCCAAGGATTTCCTGCTTTCTAGCTAATCTAAATCTCCCGGCAGAGCTTAACAGCTGATGATCGGGGGGGGGGGGGAAGCAAAAATTGCAACTTACCGAACCAGGCAAGTTGGATGGCTCGCATGCCAGATAAGGAGTGGGCGGGGAGGGGCAGGGCCAGCCAGTGGAGTGATTTCCGGTTCTCCAAACTGTGGACAATCATAATACGTGTGTGTGCAGCATTTGCAAGACATCATTAGCTGTGCCGCCTGGACAGCTGACAAGCGCTGCACACGCATGCACAGCATTTGAAAGTCCTCTTGTTTCCTGCTTTTTCAACCTCAGCTGTGCCACACAGAGCAGCTGAGGAGGGAAAAGCAGGGAATAAAGGACAGCCTAGAGCCCGGACAGGTGGGTGGGCCAAACACCAAACCGGTTCGGTGTCAGCTGCTCTTTGCAGCTACCGGTTCTATAGAACCGTGCTGAACCGGTAGCATCCCACCCCTGGTAATAGGTCTGACTAAAGAAAGAAGAAAGAACAGAGATTTGAGTCTGTTTCTTTGGCTATTTTGATCACTGAATTAGTTTCTTAGAACGTGGATCTGTTAACACTCAAGAAATTTAATTTAATTTTCAAAGAATCTATCGATTGCACTTAAGTTTCTGCATACAAACTGGAGACATAGTAAGATTCAGTTAATGACAATGGAATATTTACAAACATTTGAGCAGTACTTCTTAGAGCTATACATTTCTGTTTTTATGATTGACACATATATAACCATAAATGTCCAAAGATAATTGCATCTGCTGCCTTTCGTTTTTTAGTACATCCCCCTCCCCGCTTTAAGTAAAACCCACGGGGAAGGGCTTTTTAGAAGTCACCAGAATTGCATGCAGAAGGAACAGCTGAGAAAGAGACATACATATATCTACAGTATGCTCCTGTTTTTTGTAAATACCATTCTATTCTATGTGGTAATATCCTAATGTCCAATTAAAATAAACACTTTATATTATTCTGAGTCTATTTCTCCAATTAAGATGCAAATATATTAGACTGATTGAATCCAAAGATTTTATTCTGCTCATGAAAGAGGGGTTCTGCTTTGGGGGGGCACGGGGGGCGGCGGGAGGGTTTCCTTTTTTCATAGAAAACTTTTTCTATAATAGAAAAAACTCATTCATGAAAATATTTGGATCCAACCCATTCTTAATGTTGTTGAATAATAACCAATTTGAGATAATAGTATTTAAAACTATAATGAGAATAAATTACACTCACAAACATACATTTAGTTTTAAAATGCAAAGTCAATGCAAGTAATTGACAGATATAAAAATCTGGAAAAAAGTTTTTTTTTTCAATAATAATTTAAGAATAAAGCTATTGTGATTTTTATTAGTGGTTAAAGATGCTGAGTTAGAGGTCTTGAGCCCATGAATTTTAGTCCTGCCTTAGGCAAAAAGCCAGCTGGATAGCCTCTATCTCATCCCTAACCAAAACGCAAGGGCAAGTCGCTTCTGAAATCTTGCCAAGAAAACTGCAGGGATTTGTCTAAGCAGCCATCAGTTGTCAACATTTGATCAAAGGAAAGATAACAATAAAAAAGTAGTTCAAAAAGATATTTATTTAAATATATTTGGCAAATATATTATTTTCCGGAATAAAACTGTAAAATTTAAAATTCAAAAATAGTATATTTTGAGTACAATCTTATCTAATGAAACATTCTGACATTTAAATAATATTACAACTTAAGTATGCATGTAAGTAAATATATAGCATTTTTGCAATTATGGTATTATCCCTATAGCAAAATTGACTATCAGTGAATTATTATAACCAAAAAGTAGAAACTTCTCAATTAGCATTTGAAGATCTCTCATCCTCAAAATTGATTTATTCTTTCCCACTGATAAAATATTGTGTTTATGAGCATTAGAAAAGGCCATCAAATATGCCAAGAAAAGGCTTAATATCACCATCATCATCAGGCCGATGCCTAGGACAAAAAAATACAAAGAAGGTATTATTTTTACTATATTAAACCCTATAAAATTACTATTTTAACATAACATGGAAATACTATTAAACCAAAATATTGCGCTAGAGTTAGTAGGATGTGCAAACAGAGAATTTACTCCTGGAAACCACTGTATCATTTCAAAATGAAAATGGCCCTGATATTGATCTGGAGAAAAAAAAAATGTGTTCCAGGATTTTCTAGAATATTTCATTCCTAAAACAATGAGTTTTGTACAGCCTTAATTATTTGCATGTCTTGTCTTATGTCAACAATGAGCATTCTCAAGGCTGTAAATAGAACAATTGAATATCCTTTATCTCAGTCAGAAAGAAAAAGTTTAGAATCTAAACTTGGAGCACACAGAGACTACTGCATACTGCAATGGTCAATCTTTTGTGTTTATGGTTTTACTGTTGTCTGAAATAAAGAAACTAGTTGAGTTGTGTCTATATGCAGTTATAGAGAGTTCAGATTTGCAGCCATGCTTGGGAGAAGTCTGAAATATATGGTAGGAAAGTAAAAAAGAGTTAGTTAGTTGTGAGTTTATGCCTTTTGAAATACATGTTGAGAAAACATTATGAAAATTTCAGTTTGAAGATTCTACTAAAATGTTTCTTAATACCTAAGATCAACCCCCTTTGTCATAGTTCTGTTAGTAATAAAAAAGTCTCCCTTTCCAGCAACTTGGTAAGATCTCAAGGCTGTTTCTGAAGGTGTAGTTAATTTCATTTTCAGCTTTTCTGGTGGATTATATTCTTGAAGTCTAAACTGTAATACAACCCCCCCAAAAAACAAGTAGATACAGTTAGCATCATATGATCAACGGTTTACTTTTATTTTATATAGAGTTACACAATTGAATCTTGGGAATATAAAGACCTAATATTATACTAAGATGACTCTTTGCCTCTATGAGAAAGAGAGAGAGGAAGAGGGAGAGGGAGAGGGAGAGAGAGGGGGACTGTGGCCCCATCTTCCCAAACTTATAGATATGACCTGAGCTGTGCTTAACTGCATCTTAGCATAAACAATCAACCCTGCTTTCAAAGAGAACCTCCCCTTATTCCATCTAACCAAAGGCTAGAAACTTCACTCACTGCTTATGCTATTACCTGAGGGCAGCCTTAATAAAGAATTGCAATAGAATAACTAGGTGATCAAGGTATCATCCTTAATCATACTCAGGCAGTTGATTGGCATCTCCTTAACAATGAACTTCCCCAGTGCTGCTGCCACTTCTGAAAGTGGAGCTTTTGCCTAACCATAGAAATGTTCCAGGCCCATAGTCAAGAACCTGCTGAGTTACCCCAATATTTACCAATAAACTAGATTTTTAAGATTTGCTACCTGTAGCCCTGTAAAAATCTTTGCTTTCCCATTGTTTGCCATTCCTATTTCTTGTAAAACTGGGATCCAACAATCACTGAATAAATGGTTATTTCTGCTCTGTGTGATACCCCTTTCTTCTGAATTTTTCACGACAGCAATTATCTTTCAGAAAATGTACATACAACTTCTGTCCTGCCTCAGTCATGCATATGTAAACATACAAATGTCAGAAAAGTTTATCAGACATAATTGGTAATAAACCTAATAAAAACCAGGCATCTTTTCAATATGCATTTAGTACAATATTAGACAAGATTATCAAATGTGTATATTATCACTTACAATATTTTGATTTCCATATTCTAGAAGTAATTTGTTACTGGATGGAGGAGTCAGTGAAGGAGAGTAAGAATTGTGTAAACAGACATCAGGCTTTGTTTTATTTGGAGAATAACTAAAAAAAAAACACCGAAATGGAATCCAAAATGCAAAATAAAAGATTATAAGGTTTTAAAAGACAGCAAGGTGCTATCACAATAAATTATGTAACATTTTGGAGCATTTTCATTCTAAACATATACGAAGGTGTATAGTAACAGTAGGAAATATATACATCTCTGCACTCCAGTCTTAATATATGTATATTTAGGATGTTTCTGCAGAAGTTTTGTTTACAAGATTGATCTGATACCAAGATTCAGTCTGCATTAAAGAATAAAGATTTGCATATAAAAAAGATTTTGTGCATATATAACTCTTATACTTGTGAACCAGAATGGCCTTTTTAAAGAAATCATAAACATATCTTCTTATGCAAAAGCAGTCTGTTAGAGACGGCCAGAAGACAAGTGGGATAGTGTATCTCTGGGGAATTTAAATTTGAAAATCTTTGTATATGCAAGTATAACTGAAGATACATAAGTAGTTGTTTTATTACATTATATATACCTTTTAAAAAGTGCCTCAGGAGGTTTTTTCTGGGTGTTTTGGCAAAGTGATGTATTTTTTCTCAAATTCTGAATGCACGTGTTTTTGGATTCCAGGGGAGAAGATTCTAAAACATAAAAATAATCCCAAACATCTTGTAAATAGTATCTAAAGATAACTGAAATTGATCTGATATAGAGTTGACCTTTGTTTCATAAAATAATCAAATGGTTGTGGCCTAAATTGGGAAGTAAAAAGTAATCTTGTAAAAAGATAGTGCAAAGCCACTTCTGCATTTTTGCCAAATATTCACACTAATATTTCAATTTAGTCACCAGGAGTTAAGCAAAACAGAATCTTTATCAAAACAAAAGCTAATCAATCATACAGCATGCTTATTTGTGATTTAAATCTAACTTCTTACTCAGTGATATACCGCAAAGTAAACATTTCTCCTTAAAATCTTGTCTATATTCCTAAAACCAATACACAAAAAGATCAGATATGACAATTAAGTGTATCTGCCTCCAGTGTTCCAACTGGGTGTGGACAACTCAATATCACTCATATCGAGGCACGCACCTCCTCGCCTGGCCTCTCATGACTATGGGGATGCTGCAACAGTTGTAAGTGTGAAAAGTGGTAATAAGTCACTTTTTTCAGTGCCATTGTAACTTTGAATGGTCACTCCACACAGGCAAAGTACCAGCAAAGGAGGGGAAAAAAAACTCCAGAGACATTCCTGAGACAGGAAGTCTAGTCCTGCCAATAATGTAATAAGGGTTAACAGAGAGGCAGTTTCTGTAAGCAACACCAGAATGTTTCCTTCCTGTCTTCCTTACAGGATTAGGCCAGTAATTTCTTCTAACAACCGGTTCTCCAAACTGCTTAGAATGTTAACAACCAGTTCTAGCGAATAGGTGCGAACTGGTAGAATCCCACCCCTGACTATGGGTATGCTATATTATGTTTTAGAAACTATATTCTATTATTTTATTTACCCCTTTTTATATAATAAAATAATATTTTAGTCACATGTTAAAAACATTTTTTTGCACTATGTTTGTGACTGAAGAGGTTTTCTTTTTTGGCTGAAACTAATAATTCAGATTTTATATACAAAATACTAGTACATAATTTAAACTAAAATTAGCTACTACGTTTATTTTTTACCTGGATCTTTTAACTCCTGCATATTAGTGTTGTTGTGTACAAAACTCCCATCATTATAATCATTCCAAATTTCATTTCCTAATTCAAAATTTACACTCAAAGTTTCAGAAAACAAAGAGACGCTTTTATCTGCATCAGTCAAGTTGCTCATTGAAGATTCTTCAAGATTTTCATATGAGCCCATTGTCGGATTACTCTTTTCATCAGACTGCTTCATAGCAAAGAAACCTAAAATTTGACATAACAATAATATTCCAATGTAATTTTTTACATTATTAAAATAATAAATTTCTCCAATTTAAACAAAGACAAGTGAATCCACAACACAATTTTTGGAAGTAAGTATCATGTTTCTAATATGGAGCAGATATTTATTTATAAAATGTGCATTTGATTGCATTAATTTTTACAAGCTTTTCTAATTATTTTATACTGATCTGAAACATTCACATTCAGATACTTATGACACTGGCTTTGATAGTAAATGTATTATTTTGTGTCAAAAATCTACAAAATAAGAATATTCTGGGATAATAAAGATAACCCAGTTATTCCTTTATGTTACCATATAATGAAGTGAGGAAGCATGATGTTCCAAATACTTAATGCAATTAATTTATATCATTGAAACTACAGGAATTAAAAGAATTGAACTGTGACTAAATTGTGGCCAAGTAAAATAAATGTTAAAAATCATTAAAAATGTACCATTCATTTTGCGAACTTCAGGTTTCAGTTGAAATGTTTGACAGACATTAGAACTGTAGATGTCTTCTGGTAAAGGGGATCTTGGATGTTGTACATGTTCTAATCTTTAGAAAAATGAAATAATTCGAATCAATTTTTTAATGAAATAAATTTGAGACTATTATTAAAGAAAACAAACAATTGCCTTTTCCTACACAGTACAACTTGATGCCATTACCATGGATCTTGACAGACTAGAACACTGGGCTGTATCTAACAAAATGAAATTCAATGTAGAGAAAAGTAGGCAAGAAAAACCAAAAGTATCCATATAGACTGGGTGAAACCAGGCTCAATAGCAATAACTGTGAGAGGGATCTTGGAGTCTTAGTGGACAACCAGCTAAATATGAGCCAGCAGTGTGCAGCAGCAGCCAAAAAAGCTAATGCAATCCTAAATTGCATTAACAGAGGGATACAATCAAGATCAAGTGAGGTACGAATACCACTCTATAAAGCCTTAGTAAGACCACACCTAGAGTACTGCATCCACTTTTGGTCACCACATTATAAAAAAGATGTTGAAACTCTAGAAAAAGTACAAAGAAGAGCAACCAGGATGATTAGGGGACTGGAGACTAAGGCATATGAAGAACGGTTACATGAACTGGGCTTGGCTAGTCTAGTAAAGAGAAGGACCAGGGAAGAAATGATAGCAGTCTTCCAATATCTGAGGAGCTGCCACAGAGAGGAAGGGGGTCAATCTATTTTCTATAGCGCCTGGAAACTGAACAAGGAGAGATTTAACCTGGAAATAAGGAGAAACTTTCTGACAGTGGGAACAATCAACCAATGGAACAGTTTGCCCTCGGAAGTTGTGGGAGCGCCATCACTTGAGACTTTCAAGAAGAGATTGGACTGCCATTTGTCAGAAATGGTATAGGGTCTCCCACTTGGGCAGCAGGTTGGACTAGAAGGCCTATAAGGTCCCTTCCAACTCTGATTATCTGTTATCTGTTATCTCTAAAGTGATTATGCCTTTCCATCATCTTCCTGTAATTGCTATTGCCCAGTTATAGGTGACTGCTTGCTTTAGCTGGGCAACTGGAAGGACCATTTATGTCTTGTGTTTTTAGCCCTTCCTCTGAGAAATACTCCTGTCCTATGTGTATGTTATTGGCTTAAATTCTATCTATCTTCCCCCATGGGGCTTGTGCCTCTCCTAGTTTAGGGATGTTCACTTTAAATTTAGATGATATACGGTACAGTCATAATTAACACAGCGCTTCATCTTGGCATGCCCCTTAATTTCTTCCAGATATTGAACTTCAGTATACAGTAATTTAGGAACACCTCCAGATTATATTGTCTCCTCAGTAAATCAACAGAACCATAACCCGCATAATATTTATTCAAGTTATTCTGTATTCATTTTCCAAGCATGTTTTAATGCCCTTCCTTCTGCAGTTATGGATAGCAGGTATAAAGGAATCCTTTGTGTTTCAGGTGAAACTGAAGCACTAGAATATGTTTCTCTATGATGTAAATTTGATGCAGAACTGTGTTGTCAATTAATTCACCTTTTGGAAACACTGCCTTGCCCCCCAGATCAATATTATTTATCTAGAAGTTTTCTTAAATCACAGACATCTTAAAATCATTTGTTTTAACATTCAAATGTTGTGCTATAGTGATCAAGCTACATCATATCTAGATTTCTTATTAAAGGTATGGCATATATTAAACTGTTAGCATTATTATATGTTTGGATTGTACCAGAGTTGTTCTAATTTATGTCTTACTAATCTTGAGCTGTAATAAAGAAAGACAATGATGATAGATGACTCTTACTGTTACTACAATACCTTGGCAATCCTGGAAGAAAAGCTTTTGGAATATAACTAAATTGTTTAAGATCGACTTTTTGAGATTTATTTGACATCTGCATCTAAAATGTAGAAAAAATATTATTATTATTATTATAATATACAGGTATACATATATTTATTTCTTGTATACAGCTAGAAAATGAGAAACCACCACTAATTACAAAACCTATATATGAACATTATTCTCTCTCAGACTTCAATCCTGAAAACTACCATGCTACCAACATGTCTATGGAGATTCTCAGGAGTGGGATGCTCCCAGTTCTGCCTGGCTCTATAGAACCGGTAGCTCTGAAGAGCAGCAGACACTGAACCAGTTCTGTGTTTGCTGCTGTTTGGGCCACCGGCCCACCCAGGCTGTTACCTGTCCTTTATTTCCTGCTTTTTCTACCTCAGCTGCTTTGCGTGGCACAGCTGAAGTTGAAAAAGCAGGAAAAAAGTGGCTTTTCAAACGCTGTGCACCTGCACACAGTGCTTTTTAGCTGTCCGGGCAGCACAGCTTAAGGTTTTTTTACACGCGCGCACAAAAAGTAGTCACTAAACCAGTAGTAACACCGGTTGAATCCCACCCCTGGAGATTCTCTGTCATCCAGGTCATGGTTGTCCCAAAGGTGCTTTTTCAAGAGGCAACTGGAGTTTCTTATTTTTCTTTGAAGACAGTTTGTTTTTCATTCAAGAAGCTTCTTCAGCTCTTGACTGGATGGTTAAGTTCATTTCTGAGAGTATAACATACTGAATTACCTGTTGCAGGTGGACCCTTTGAATCCTCCTCCATGAGTCCAATATATAGAGCTGAAGAAGCTTCCTGGATGAGAATCAAAACATCTTCAAAAAAACCTCCAGAAAGTACAGTTGCCTCTTGAAAAAGCACCTTTGGGATTTGCTACCAACATGTATTAAACTAACATAACAGATAACAGGCATAACCTTCAGTGAAAAGAGCTTCATGTGGGAATGGATTGATTTGGAATGATGATAGTGATTTCAGTAAATGTCAGCTTTGAATTATGCAAAGATCTCAGAAAGTGAAGGGCAGCTATAAATCTATTTATAGTTTATTATTACGGTGTATTATAGAAATATAATTTATTATATTTCATTCACTATTATAATTGTTATATCATTTTATGATAGAGAAAACTCCTACAAAAGGCAAGAATAGTTTGAAATCTGTAAATTTGTCTCCCTTTAGTAAAGGGAAAGACTAGATGGCGATTCCATAGAAATAAAAATGATTGCACTGTAAAATCTTAAGAACAAAGTATTATCCCCCAAATCCTGCAAGATGGCAGTCAAGAAGCATTGTCAAACTTTTGTCTGAAAAAAGTAGCATAATGTACAATATCCAATCTTAGTTTATTATTCAATCCAACAATCATATTCAAATTAGCCACTAATGTTTAAAGAAAAATGCACATATTTTTTTTTCATTTCAAAGCTACCTCCTGTGGAATACTGGTGTCAGCTTCTATACTTATTCCAAATAAATGGTCTAGAAGATTATAAAACATTTATTTCCCAATATTTTTTCTGGCATAATTTGTACCGTCGCCTTAATCTTTTTGTAGGCATTTTTAATGTTAATATAATATTCCACTTTTTTTCCTATTTCACAGGATATAATCAACATTAGATATTATATTTCACTAACAAAAATGGTCTTAATTTCAAATATTTTATTTTAAAAGGGCAAACATATTTTTTCCAAATTCATGTACCTTTAGTCGCTTGACTGGGGGAATGGCAGAGTCAGCATTCCTGTTTCTTAAGTCAGTAAGATATGAAGAAAAAGCTGACTCATTCTTCACGTTAGATTTCTCTGAAACTCCAATTTTACCTTTAAAATGTAATATATATTTTCATTTTACATGTATATATTTTATTTTTGTTACAGAAAACTAGAAACAAAAGAAAAATAATTCATAAAAGTTTCAAGTAAATTCTTGTATGACAACAGCCAACCACTTCCATTTTATTGACAGCATTGCATGTACCAATTATTTCATGTACCAGGCCATGGCCTGTTAGGAATTGGGCTGTGCAGCTGAACATGAACATCAGGCGAGCAAGCAAAATTTCATCTGTGCATGGGCTGGATTTAGGTTTCATGTAACATCATCCATCACCCTTGTCCATGGAAAAATTGTCTTCCATAAAACTAGTCCCTGGTGCCAAAAAGGGTGGGGACTGCTGCTGCACATTAAGAATCTGTCATGTTCCAAATGTAAAGCTTTCTCCTATATACCCATTTTTTAAAGTGTTTACATTTATGAGAATGTGCACATTTCTAAATTCAAGAGGCTGAGTGAATCCTTCTCTACATACAAGCTGTACTGTATAAGTTACAATAAAAAAAATAACTCACAACAATCATGTCCACATGTTTCTTTATTTTTGCAGTGGTGATTGCATTTTCTATTTCCATTCTTTATGCTTAGTGATTCTTGGCTACAAGTGGCTTCTTTTGTTTTATGTCAATTTGATGGCATAAAAGAAAATAAAACTTTAAACATTATATCAGAATCAAATACATGGTAATCACTGAAAAATGGCAGCCTTTGCACATTATTTTACTGTTTTTTCCACAAATTCTATAAGGTAGTATGTAAGTGAAGAAGGAACATGTAAAAACATTTGAAAATGGTCATGTAGGAAACAGGTGATAAGCCTACTAAAAGTTTACTATAATTTAATTGAATTTGTCCTTAATTTACCAGTGGTGGGATTAAAATTTTTTTACTACTGGTTCTGTGGGGGTGGCTTGGTGGCAAGAGAAGGATACTGTAAAATCTCCAGTCAGAGGTGGTATTTGCCAGTTCTCCGATCTACTCAAAATTTCCACTACCGGTTCTCCAGAACTGGTCAGAACCTGCTGAATAGCACCTCTAGTATACACTAACACTTTAAAAGGATAAGACATAAAGTATACATTCCGTTTCTAAAACGTTTGTACCAAATTAAATCCCACTGTGTTCAGTAAGGCAATCCCTGGAAAATTTATCTGAGGAATCTACAATTTAAATAAAAACCAACTAAAATATTCAGATTCGAAAAACAAAATACCTATACATTATGGATCCATTTTATATATTATTTTTAATGAATTGGCCTAAAATCATTAAAAAGTTATTTGCTATTTAAAATATTAAAAGCAAACTTTAAAATAACAAAAATTCATCAGAATTCTACTGCTATTTATCATCACAAAGAGATACCTTGGGCAAATTTCAAATGCCTACTAAATAAGTGGGATTTGCATTTTGAATATTAAACCCAAAAGCACATTGATTTTTTTTCCTTTGCCAATTCTTATCATAATTATTTTAATATTCTGCAATCAAAATCTTCTGAGGTAGGCCGGTACCCTTTATAATTATACATTATTCACTATCAAACTGGGTTCTGACATCAAACACTTACCTAAAATCTATTCAGCTGCTACCAATAAATATTTAATATGTAATTTTTATTTACCTTTATTTGTTCTTAATTTTGATGACCCTACTGAAGATGTCTGAGAGCTATCAGATTTTTCATGAGTTATCATGATTCCAAACTTCTTTGGTCCCAAGTAAAATGGTTTATATTTCTGCTGAATATCCAATCCAACTATTAGGGGAGAGAAAAATATATATGTATGTAAAATATAAATAAATGGAAGGAACAGAAGAAAAACTAATTTTAATGCAAATTCCATTCTCTTGCCAACAGAATGTTACAATGTATTTTGTATGGTAAATAGTATGTAAGAGTACTGGATCAGAAGCTAATTTAAATATTTAAACATATCTTTTACTGAGCCTCTTCCTTTTTCTTTTTCCAATGTTTTCTATTGATTGTATCTTCCAACAAGCTTGCAGAGAGTGGAAGAAAATATGGCTATGCATTCTATTAGGTAACAATAACACTCTTTATAGGTCCAAATGATCTAGGAATTATATACTAGGTGAAATATACTTATTATACAAATATAATATTCACTTGCCATTGTAAAAATAATCATAGTGAGTTTTGTTTTTTATTACTTTTTCTAATAAAAATATTATACAATACTAATTATTTTATTGTTTATTATTATTTATATAAATAACTCAAGGCGATAAATATCCTTTCTCCAACTTTCTCCATAAAAACCACCATGTGAGGTAGGTTGGGCTGAGTGACTGGTCCAAAGTCACCTAGATGGCTTTCATGGCTAAGGTGTCACTAGAACTCACAATCCCACAATATCTAGTCTAGAGGCTTAACTACTGGACTAAACTAGTTTAAAAACTTAAACCCCATTCCAAGCTCCATCCTTAAAGTACAGTTATATAAATCAGTGGTGGGATTCAGAATTTTTCACTATCGGTTATGTGGGCATGGCTAGTGGGCATGGCTAGGGAGCATAGCCATGTGATTGGGTGGGCTTGAGGTTTTTTGGTTTTTGGTTTTTGCGCCACCCCTCGCTTTTGGGCCTTCTGAGCCTCAGAGAAGCCTTCGGGGGTGGGTGGGCTTCTGACGGGGCTCCTAGAAGGTTTCCCTTGGGCTCAGTTAAGCAGAAAAAGGAGGATAGGAGGAGCATGCAGCACTCCCCTGCACTCCATTTTGGGGTGTACTGAGCCTCAGATAAGCCTTCTTGGGGGGGGGGGGTTGATCCCAGAAGGCTTCCCTTGGGCTCAGTCAGGCAGAAAATGGAGGATAGGAGGGGCATACAGCACTCCCCCATGCTTCATTTTGGGGCCTCCCTGGGGCCGTGGAAGGCTAAAAATGGAGTGGGTGGGAGGCTGTGGCCCTCCTCCATTTTTTGCCTTTCTGGGCCTCAGGGAAGCCTCCTGGGTGAAGCAGTAAGTAAGCAAGGGGAATCCTGGTACAGCTGATCTTAGGAACAGCTGATTGTTGGGAGGGGAAAAAAAAAGAAATACTTTAAGGAGTGACTGAGCAGGTAAGCGTCAGGTGGCCGGCCCAGGGTGAGCCAGCATCAGGTGGGTGGGGCAAGCGAGCGGCGACTAGGCCACTGGATTGGGGGCATGGCCAGCCAGAAGTTACTACTGGTTCGGCAACCCACACCAAATCCTTGCTATTGGTTTGCCAGAACTGGTGTGAACCGGCTGAATACCACCATTGATATAAATGTGTCATTATCTCATATGACAACCTTTGTCAATCTATTGATAGGCTTCTCAGACAGTTTGGCGGGAAGCCCAGCGATCATTGTTTAAGATATTTCAGTAAATAACTTTTGTTTCAGATCTCCATTGCTTTTTGTTCAAGTTCACTGGATGACTTTTTTCCATGACACAATATATTGTAAAGCAGAAATGCAGTTTCACTGTAAAATCAGCATATAGTAATTTAAGAAACATGAAACCCAAGAGGTTCTCCATTTAAAACTTAGTAGACTTATTTTTAAAATCCCAATCCATAAATTAATTTACCATATTCAGAACTGATTAGATTTATATTAAGCTCATCAGAATTAACAGCTCTTCTTACTTCAATCTTTTTAGTCCAGTTTCCAGTTTTCAGCAAAGCAGAATCCCTGTAAGCATATAGTGAATCAATAGCTTAAAATTAAATGTGCAAAAATGCACAATTGTTAACGTTTCAAAATAAATTAAATTTACTCACATAATCCTTTGTCTAAAAACCACATGATTATCATTATCTCCTATTACTAGGGTTGTATAATGAAAATCTGGAGCAGTTCTTTTTATCTGCAGCTGTTCAAAGTTGGTTAATGTGATTGTAACTATGATTTCAGCTACTGCTTCATTGTACTTTGCCAGCTTGAAAATAAATGACATACAATTCAAAAATAAAATTAGCTTTCGCATATGATATGGTAAATAAATATGAATAGATTCATATTGGCTGGATTCAGATACGATGCTAAGCTATTTCAATGTTATGACACGTGTGTAATGATGCCATTCCGCTTAATGCTACCGTTATATAATTGGACCCCAAAGTCTGATATATATGTTACAGAATATAGAATACAGAATATCAGAGTTGGAAGGGACTTCTAGTCAAGCCCCCTGCTCAAGGAAGGGAACCTATACTATTCTGAATAAATGGCTGTCCAATCATTTCTTAAAAACCTCCACTGATGGAGCACCCACAACTTCTGAAGGCAAGCTGAAGACAAGAATTTCTCCCTAGTTCTAGGTTGGGATATCTCTTTGATAAATTTCCAACCATTACTTCTTGTCTTGCCTTCAAGTGCTTTGGAGAATAGGTTGTCCCGCTCTTTTCTGTGAGGCTCTTTCGAATACTGGAAGACCGCTGTCGTGTCGCCCCTTAGTTGCAGCATTTGTATGATGATGTTGTCAATCATGTATAATTTCCCTTGTGCTTGCCTTATTGTATATACCCGTGGTATAAACCAGCATTTAGAAAAGCAAGGCATATTTAAACTCAGGAGAAAACATGGGTGGTGAGGAGATGTCTAAGTAATCGTTATATCTAGTTCCTAGATCTTTCTTGCTAATTCTATGGTATGGATTATTAAATAATCCCATGCAGAGTTAGACAGTTTAAGAGCAAATGTCACTCATTAGTGATGTGGCAGACAGTATGACCAAATGGAGTTATCTTGCTACATTGTAACAAAGCATCTGCTGTTCTTACCACAGAGCTCAATTTCTCAATTTTTCCAATCTACAATTACAAATCTTCACTATAGGCTTTTTAGTCTATCACTCTCAATACTGTACTAGCTACTACATTGGACAGTAGCTACTGTACTAGCTACTCAATGCTGTACTAGCTACTACATCATAATGAACTATTGGCTCCATAGTTTGAAGACTTTTTTGGGTAATCAGCACCTAAATCACAAATGTACTTAATGAATATTTGCAAAATTTTAGGAAGGAGAATTTCTTCTAAATTTTCTTTTGAATTCAGTTGTTTTGTAGTGGGAACACAAAACAAAAATATACCTGCTCTATGTTAAGTTCATATTTTGGAAGATGTGCTACTGACTCTTTAATCTGATTTCCAAAAGGAGGATGTCTGTTCAAAATCTGGAAATTTAAATTCAAATAGCATTCATATTAATTTAGAACATAGACCAATATTTGTTAAACATAGCACAAAAGCTATTTACAAAACATAGTCTTCCTAGCATTACATTGTTAGCGTTGTTCTTTAAATCAATCAACATGACAATCAACAGTGCATTTTGGGATAATGTATGTCAGTTTGTCTGCCTTCCTTTGGGCATGTACCATTGACTTGAAAATGCATTGTCAAATGTTCATTAAAATGTATCTTGATGCAGACTTATCAGATATGTGAGCAAAGGTAGAATAGTATATGTAACACACAACATAAAAATTATAAAATAAATACCAATTCAAGCTCTCTTGCATTTGTATCTTCTATTTTTTTAAAGGACGTCAATCCTGCATTCATCATTGTATTTGATAAACTCATGCCTATTGAAAATTGAAATATGCTAAAGATTAATTTGTCAAATTGCATTTCCTCATAACTTATCTTTTTTTTTTTTTTTACTAATAAGCAAATATAAAATATCATTTAAACTAAGCATCTACTCTGAAATATATTTCAAAATGTGGCTGATGGTTTAAGGATGGTGAGGTTTTTCCAGACTGCAGTTTGGGTGCTTTATCCCTGGAGGTGTTTTAGACTGAAGTGCAGGGTAATAGGGAAAAAAAGTCAACAGCAGAGATGGTTGGCAAAGTTCAAAGCATCAACAATATCCAGCTGGTTGTTCTCCATCCACTTTATAACTTGAGAGGTAGCTTAATGACCACAACTGAAAGTGCTAGGATTACAATCATTGAGTAAAGCAGTCATGTGGGTGTCTTTTTTAATTATTGCTTTGCTCAACAACCAATATTAACAATCCTAATTTTGGCTGTTAAGCAAATATCACCTGTAATTTTTTTTAAATCTGATATTTAAAAAAACAATAGAAAATGTAGGAATAATCCTCAATATTCTTTTGCAGTTTGTACTTCTAATGTATAACATACTGCTGTGCAAAATTCTCATCACTGTTGCCACTTTCTTTTGTAAAGCTAAGCAGCATATTAATTACTATAAGAAAGGTCTACAAAACATCCATAGATTCTGAACATTTTGACAAGTGATATTTAATGTAACATTAATCACACATCTCCTGAATTTAATTTTTCTTCAATATCTCAAGCCTTGTCCAATCTGAGGATGGAAAAAGAAAACAATTCTATCGTAATATTTTTATGTGATGAGATTGAAATGATCGGATTTTACTCTAAATAGAAAAAAGTTCAACTTTTGTACTGTATCCTGAGTTGAAAGGTAGAATAAATTTTATTATACCTACCGATTTTTTCAAGCTGTTTGGATACATTCAGTGAATTTTCCCAAAGTCTACATCTGAAGCACTTCGCTAAAATCAAAGAGTTTAGTAATACAATAAAGTTGTTTTTATGGGTAGCCAGAAATTCAGATAACCCTACACAAGAAAAGAAACAAGTGTAAAAACAGGAAGAGATTAAAAAATACATGCTCATGCATATTATCCTTATTACATTATATTTATACTGTATATTGCACAGTTAGCCAGATGTTCAGATGGATTTGGTATTTTTGTTTGAATTATTTTCAAGGATCTGGAATAGGCAGATGTGGAAATTTGATGGTATTACAACTATCATCGCAGGATGTAAGCTTATTATTATTCTTTAAAATACATTGCTTTGCTTTTTTACCCTTATAAATCACTCACACTTATTAGAAAATGCCCTACAAATTTAAATTAGTCACTGCCTCATTTAGCAACCATCTCCAGGTCGATGGTGATTAGAAAAATAACTTTGTGTCCGGTCTTTGTAGGTCTGTAAAGCAAAGGAAAACTGAACATTGTAAAATTGCACTATTTTACTTAGCAGCCACTATACTTAATAATTGAGTTGCCAGTTCCATTTGTGGTCACTAAACAAGGATTAGCTGTAAGCAAATATATAACAAAAAAAGTAATTTTAAATTTTACCATACATTTTGTAAGTCTTATGCCATTTCTAAAAATGTTTCCTATATCTTGCGTCAAGGTGAAATCTTGTATGGGAATGCATCCCAACTGTGCCTGAATAAGACTGAAAAAGAAGTTATAAATTTTTCAAAATATTGAAAATACCAATGTGTAAATATCATAAACAGTAAATCCACTGATTTTTAAAAAATTAATAGCACTTAGACTTATATACAACTTCATACTGTTTTACAGCCCTCTCTAAGCAGTTTACAGAGTCAGCATATTGCCCCCAACAAACTGGGTCCTCATTTTACCAACCTCGGAAAGATGGAAGGTTGAATCAACCTTGAGCCAATGAGACTTGAACTGCCAAACTCCTGGCAGCCATCAGTCAGCCAAAATAGCCTGTAGTACTGCATTCTAACCACTGCACTACCCCACAGCTCTAGATAAAATCTAGAGAGGATGGAGTATAAAGAAATACCATACAATAATTCACCAATAACTTTTATTACTATTTTAAGATAATAATAACATATTGTATAAAATAGTTACCAGTTTACTTTCATTTCTCTTGTTTTTATTTTTCCTTCCATTGGATATCTGTACATAAAATATGTAAGTTTTTATTTACTTCTGCTAAATATATGACATTAATTTATAACATAAAATGAGATGCATTTCTCATTATCAAGAAGATATTCTGGTATCATACATATAAATAAGAGTTCATTAAGATTTATTTATAACTATATTACTACAGAGTTATAGTTTCAGAGAAGGTTTATGAGACTTGTGACCCTCCAGATGCTCTTGAATTATACTGTTCAGTTTTGACCATGTGGACTTGAGATAGGGTTTGCCAATCTCTGGGAAAATAAAATTTCTCCATACTTTACAGCTTCAAATGTGCGCATTTTAACATTGAAATCTCTAATGGGTATGGCTCCTCATCCACTGATCCCAGTGAGCTCATTTTTGAGAGTTCTCAAAAACGGGTAAAGAGATGTTTGGACATTTCCTGGAGTGAGTACAATGGGACATCTGAGCTTACTCTTTCGTGATACAATCAGAACAGGCTTGCTTATCTACTTCATTTGTCTATGGAGATTCTCAGTCATCCAGGTCATGGTTGTCCCAAAGGTGCTTTTTCAAGAGGCAACTGGACTTTTTGGTTTTTCTTTGAGGACATTTTGGTTCTCACCCAGGAAGCTTCTTCAGTTCTGGCTGGATGGTGGGGAATTGAAGGATTTATAGTCCTTGCAGACAGCTGTTCATTTGTATTCTTTTAGAGAGTCATTGAGGCCACCTGGAGTGTTGTCAGGGTCACCTGAGTAGTGCAAATGGCTCTGGAGCCTTCTTAGAACAATTGAAAGGACTGTGCTGTAGAATGGAAATAAATGATGTCATCTTTCTTTCCCTCTGTTGAGAAGGCTGTTCAATTTTGACAATGAACTGCTGTCTGCATATTTTGTGTTGGTGACAACAGGTTGGTCACTCCAGTATAAAGTATCCCAGAACTCAATCCTTTCCTTAATGTTATTTAATATCCATGCAAAACTGCTGGGAGAAATTATCTTTCAATTCACAATGGCACAATATCAACATGTGAATGTTACAAAGCTGTATCATCTACCAAATAGGAGAGCTGATAGAAGTTATGACCTGGTGTTTGGAAGCTTAGAAGGGGAAAAAAGGTTCAAACTCAATCCAAGCAATTTTGGGTTAAAGCCTACTAATTCCCCCAAAATACTATCATAGATTCTTGATGGGATTGTATTCCCCCAAGAACAGTAGGTTTGCAATCTGGAAGTTCTTCTGAATTTGGGGAACAGCAGGTAAAGGACATGACGAGGAAAGTCTTAGCCCAGGCACTGACATCTCTACTGTGAAACAGAATTAATTGTAAGTAGGACAGAATTTATAGCATATAAATTAGCATATAGGTTTTAAGCACATACACTATGCAGAAAATAAAAATGTTGCTGTAATTAAAATTACTGTTTAGTAGAAAATAATTTTAATCTTGTACCTTATGTTCATCCACTTCTTATCTTTGTTCAAGGAATTAAGTACTTTTTTCTCATTTGTTCTTAACTTGATGTCTGAAAATTCACTGCAACCAGATATCAATTCAACCTGCAATAATTTCTTTCATTAATTTTGTTCTATTAATTTTAATATATTTTAAGCACTTATTTTAAAAATTATGAGAAATACATTCAGAATTATTTCTGGCAGTTCAGACTTGATGGAGATATTATTTAGTATTTTTATTTGTGGTAGTTATTTTTATGATTGTTTAGCTTATCCATATTTATGTGAAAACAGAATGCATTGATCTCAATAGATTTTACTTTTAAACAGACATGCATTGGATAATTGTTTTTATTACTAAACCAGTTGTTTTTATTATTTATTTCTTAATTTTATCTAAATTGTAAGTATCAAGATACCACATACTGGGTACGTTTAACAGAGTCCCTACACAAGTATATAACACCCTAAAAAGCAAACAATTTGCTTTTAGAAGCATCCCATGAATTTGAGCCAAGAGGTTAAACGAGCTACTGTTGTTGTATTATGAGTTGGAGTAGCTTTTTATGACCTCAGGCATGTATGATTTAAGTTGTTTAAATTGTTGTTTTTAACTTTGTATACCACCTACACTCACCTGCAGTGAGATGGGAGGACATATAAATTGTATAAATAAAATTTGATTGGTTCATATTTATCAGTTGTACTATAAAGTTAAAACCTGGCTTTACATATTAATTTATCTCATTATTTAATTCATTGAATACTTTAATTTTTTTCTGTAAATAGACTGGCAAAGTACGATTGACACTTCTGAAAATCCAGATAATACCATACAATGACAGCATCATCATAAACCTATATTTATTATGGAACATCAAATACATTCAAAATGAAATGGGAACTAAATTTCATTGATACATAGTCCCGTTGCTACCATACAAATACCAAAATTCATGGTTCAGTGAATTGTTGCAAAATAGTATCTCAATGGTCTAATGAAGAAGAAAAAACCACCATAGACAAACAAGGAAAGCAATGAAAAATGTTTGCCTGTTTTGCCAGAAAATGCCTTTCTATGTTATATATCATTTAAAAAATAAAACTTGCATATATTGCTGTGGTTCTCAAACAATATGCTTCAGCACAAAAACCCTATCAAAAAACAGCTTAACGGCTTTTTCATATTTTTTTCATTGGGTTTTTAGTCCAAATAGAGTCCCTGTCCAAATATAAGGAAAATTATGTGTGACATTTCAAGGCAAAGTGAGATTTAATTGCTCCAGAGGATAAATATTTTACAAGCAAACTACCTAAGCAAAATAGATAACTTTCCCCAATGTTTAAAGGAAATTTTAGGAAATTATTTTTTTCATTTAGAAATTAGGGATAGATTGGGTACTTTTTGTC